TATATAAAATGAAAATTTTCAAAATGCACAATTTTCTGACATTTTAATTCACGTATTATAATTATAATTAAAATATGATAACAACAAACATTTATTTGGGGTATGGCACATATCAACTGTAATCCTCATGATAAACCTACTACTGTCTCTGTTTTACTGATGGGGAAAGTGATGCACCAAGAGATTGAAGAAGTCATTTGTTCAAGATTTCACAGCGAGTAAGAGGCAGAACAGGGATTTGAACCCAGACAGTCCAGATTCAGGGTTAACCAATCTGTAGCCACTAAGCTATAATTCCTCTTTCATCTCCAGGATAGAAGGTGTTCTTTGATTCTCCTTTTTTATGGGCAGAATTTTCTAGGTTCTCAGAGTGCAATTAAAGAAAAAAAAAACAAAGAATAGTACTTGCCTAATATTGTTATGTCTGGAAAAGAAATTGTGGCTTCTTACAAAATGCCTATTTTCTGTTAACTTATTCTGTGATATAATATCATGGCCTCAGCTGGAGCTTCAGCTGAACCACAAAACCTGATGATCTCACACATCTAACTGTGCAACTCACATGATCCATCAGAGGACAGTAGCTGTAAGCAATTCTGTTGCACAAAGTGGAGTAGGTCACCTTGTCCAGTTTGGCTAAAAGTCTTCGGAGGGTGAGCAAAGCCCGCATTACAACCGTGACGTCTTTGCAAAGGAAGGCATCCAGGATGCATATTAATAAGCTGCAGACATTTTCTACCTACATAGGAAAGGAGGCCAATGGTGAGATTATGGAAGTAGAAGACTCGTACTGGCATCTGAAATGCACACTGCTGAGTTTGGGCAGCACATCGCGGTGTACTGGGGCTAGCTCACAAGAGGCAATTGTCAAATTGTCAAAAATCTTCAAAGCTGATTGTTAAAACAAGCCATTATTGAAAATTAAACCATATATATTTAGAATTAAATAAAAACCATGGCAATAAATACTAAAACATTATCACTTCCTAATTCTTTGGCTACATTTTACTATTATCCATGCTCTTGAGGTTATTTATGTGTAATGTATTCAAATGGTGGAAACATTAAATAATGTGCTGATGTGCATCTCTTCCCAACTCCACGTTCAGTAATGTCCCTTTGATAGCTTGAAATTGGACATGGCGGGAGTATGGAAACCAGGGAAATTGGTCTTATTTCCAGAGACCTGGTTGTTGCGACCTGTTTGGACATGAGCATTGCTGAGCAGCTGAGGCAGCTCATGGGACTCAAGTGCAGATCAGAGCCAAATAGAATAGAAGGCAAGGAAAAACATGAAAAGGGGACACAAAAGAAGAGAAAAGTAGGAAGAAAAGGAGTAGAGATAATGAATAAATATTATATGCCAACTAAGGAGAAAAATAATAAGGAGAAAAAATAATAAGGAGAAAAAATTGAATGAAGGATGATGTCAATGCAAGAAGCCACTTGTGTCGGGCTGGTAAGTTGAGTCTTTACCAATAGTATGTGAAATCTCAACCCAGATCACTCTCCACTGCTTTTCTTCCACTCTCCTAGCTAGCCTTGATACAGAATCTTCCGAAAATCAGTTGTTGATAACGTTGAGAAGAGCTCTGGGCAAAGCGAGAAATAACTCGCTGCTTACTGAAAGAATGTACCTAGTTAATAAACCCATTGATTTTCCCCTGATAGGCTTAAGCTTTCAGGCACTATGCTCAATAGATAAACAAGGATTTATTATTAGATTCATTGTTAAATCAATAATAATTTAATGTCAGCATTGTGCAAGATACTTTGGAATTTAAAGTTGTTATATAAAACACAGGAGCATGCTTAAATTCAACGGACTTAGAAGGCAAGAAGTATTCATGTAACAGAGGGAATGATGGGGGGGGCGGGGGCGGGGAATGGTAAAAAGATTTTCTGTCTCTTTAAATCTTCCCCCACTGTTTTTGGGAACTGCAGCCTGGCCTGCATCCTTGAGGCAGGTTAAATCTTTTGTTAAAACTCTCAGGTGGTGACAGCCCCCCATGTGGGCTGTTGAGTTCACAGGCTTTGTCTTTGGCTCAGATGGGAGATTAGAATAGTTAACCACAGTAATTGCCTGAAGCTGAGAACCCTCTCTTTAAAAGCTCTGTATTTCTTCCTGTGTTCAGGAAAATTTGGATTTTGAGATGAGAAGGTCTACCATTTTTCCTCCTTTGCAAAGTAAACTTTTTTCCTTCCTCCCCAAACCACTTATCCTCATCCTTCTGATTCGGCCTCATGGACAAGTGGCCGAGTTTTCGGTAACATTCAGGAGTTAGCGCGAAACAATATAAGACAGTGACTCTGTCTTACATTGCTTGTTGCCTGCATTAGTCACCTGGAGGACTTTTGAAAACACAGATTGGTTGGCCTCACCCCCAGAATTTCTAATTCCACAGCCCTGGGTAGGGACCGACAATCTGCATTTCTAACAAGTTTCCAGGTGCTGCTGGCCCTACTGGCTCAAGGACCACACTGTTAGGACCACTGATCTAAAACGTTATATAAGTAAGTGCTCATCATTGTTATGGCTCTGGGAGGAATGAGGCTGCTGGAGATCAAAATATTCAGTGCAGCTTGACTTGAACTGACCATTGAAAAATATGGAAAACATGAATATGAATGTGTTAAGGAAGAAAGTGTTACGAGTGGAAGAAAAAGGTTGGGTGCTCTGAGATAGGAGCTAATGTGCATGTGTGTGTATGCAGGAGGGGAAGTTATCTGTGTATGGTTCAGAGTGTAAGAAGAGTGTTCATGTAGGGCAATGGCGATAAATTCTGAATGTAATGAATAATTTTCTGTAAAAAAACATAAATATGGTGATAAAGCCACTAAACTGACTTAACATATCCTTTCCATTCAACTCAGTTTCCTGATTGATAAAATACCAGGCTTTGATATTGTTTAAACTATATGGAAACTAAAAAATATCAATGTTTTATCGGTAAAGATATTGAGCAATATCAAAATTATATATCATGACTTTGTTGGTGCTGGCAGACACAAATTCCACATACGTACCTCATTGATCACGGGTGCCATGCTGGAAATTTTCTGAAGGCTCAGTTTGCTAACTGAAGGATTAGGATCATTGATCCAGTTTCTGAAGAGGACCAAAAACTCTTCTGGGAATGGGTCCTTCAAAAAGTTATTCAGAAGCTGAAAGTAAACAATTAAGTTCATAAGCAGAGTACGGGTCAAATCGCACGATTTCTATCTGTCATACAAATCAAGAGGTTTCAGTAAAACTAGAATATAAATCTCACTAAAACTCCATATGCTTAGATACATTCTTCATTTATTTCTGTGTTCATAGCGGGGCAGAAGAGAAAAAGTGATCAGAATAGAAAATAGATGCTTAGCTTTGTTTTTATATGAACATATATATAGATATAATTTGGGGAGGGTGGGGTAGAAAGAGGGTCTTGCTATGTT